ATTCAGTTTTAAGGCCGATACAGGCCGATACCGATAGGGGGCCGATTATATTGTGCATCCCTACATGTAACGATGACTTATCAGTCATCATTAGGATAAGACTCACATTCTAGCAGGTGCTCAGCTTAGGTACATAATTTGGTGCAAAAAAGAAAACAAAAAAAAACTGCAGTAATATTAATAATGGATACCAATATTAACCCAGGTCGATGCATCCTTAACCAGACTGTGTAATGATCTGATTCAGTGAGTTATTTCCTATAAAGGAACGGTTTCCCAACTATGACACAAGTGAAAAGGTTAAAATAAACTCGATAAAAGCATAAATTAAAAAGAAAAGTGTCATCATGGTCCCATCAAGGTGGAAACAGGACGACTGATGCAGAAACATAAACACTGGTGTCGCTTCCTGCTCACAGCTTCACAGTTTAATAAAGGAAATTCAAAACAGAGCAAATGATCATCCTAAGATTAATATAATAAAATTAGTGATCACGATGGTGAGGCACGTTTTGCCTCCTGTTAATGGAAATATTATAACTCAATGAGCTGGAGATGGAGTTTCTGTTCCTTGAAGCAGGCTCACAATAACAGAATCATCTGAATATTTAAAAATAAATGGATTCTTATTAAAAAAAAACGCTCTTACGAATATCGGTGGACAGAATAAATATCAAGAGTGAGAGCAGGGCCTGGTATGGTGAGCCACTGGGGAAGCACACCTTGTCAGATAAAAAATTAACCACTTATTAAAGAGTTTTGTAACTATTGAATATAAGTTACAGCAACTTTTCTAAAATCCTTCAGCAGGACGTCAGATATCAAAAAGCAAAAAATCAGGTTAGATTTTAAAAAAACAAATATAAACAAGTTTTTGTAATCCTACAATCTAGAAAGCTTTGACATTTTATTTCTAAGGCTTTAGGAATCTAGGAGACAAAACTGAGAGTTATTATCCACTAATGGGGGAAAGATGGAACGAAGCGTACTAAAATCACTCCAATAGAGCATCAAAGCTGAATGTCCAACCTCAGGGAAAATGGACCATGCTTTTTTACAAATGTATTACCCTAATATTGGTTTGTTAATAGATTTAGACTCAATGAACAATATCAATACATTATATTACGTTTAACTCTAAAATAAGCCTCTAACACCCATATGTATCTAATCTTCCCAGTGAGATGAACAGACAGATGCAGCATCCTGACTGTGTCATGCATCCCACTTTCACTGCAGGTTTGCAACAAGATTTTGGAGGAATTTAGGTCTTAAATTTAGTTTTTACTAAAGTCACACAGATCCTGCTTTTCAAAGGACATACAGCACTGTAGACATTAATATTGTCTGTCATTATGAGCTTAAGAGTCTTCAGGCTAATTTAATGTTTCCAAAATGATAATGAAAAAAGCATGTTTTAGGATTCGGTTCATTGTTGCAATAAAACCCTGAACTCTGCCCCCTCTACTAAACTATGAATCAACTGTTTGTTCCTGGAGAAAAGAAAAAAAAGGAACCAATCAATCAATCTTTATCTTCAAAGCTCTGCTACACATAATAAAGAAACTAAAGTTCTCCAAAAGGCAAAGCGAGCAATGAAATAGTTAAATCAACACCAATAAAAAGAAACACAATGGCACTGGGCTAAATTACACAAGCAGAAAAAAAATCTCATTGCTCGCCTAAAAGCCCAGAATAAAAAGCCAGAGAAAACAGATCAGCTTTAAAAAGGCAGTGACTTGCTTATCAAATTACAGAACAGCGCATAAATCCAACTTTTCAGACACAAAATGACTCAAGTGGGACAATAGCAGCGCTGCAACCCACCATCCAGATAGAGTTACCAAAGAAAAGAACATTAGTCTAGTTTGTTAATCTAAACCTGATCCATTATCCAACGCTTTAGCAGATTCTCAGTCATCTGATTACTTTCAGCCATGGATAGATCTGCATGTGGTCTGCAAGACAATAACAGGACTGGCTCTGTTTCTTAACTATAGACCCCAGAGGGTCTATAGGGTTTTTTTATTGTCTTTGATTATTTTATCTTTTCTTTTCCTTTTTTATTTTGTATGCTTTCCATGAGTTTTTATTTAGCACTTACCTGTTTTACTATGTAGCACTGTGAGATTTGTTTAAATATAAAGTGCATTACAAGTATTATAATTATTATTATTATTAGGGCCAAAGTCCTAAATCGATTCGGTTTTGATTCATACAGTTCTAAATCGATTAATTTAGATTTGATCTGTTCAACTGTGTTTCAAAATACTCAAAATACTGTCACATAAAACAGTTTAAACTTGAGCTGTGAACAAAACTGTCTCATAAGTGCAAACTTTTTTGTGAAAAGTGAAAAAGTGAAGCCTCACGATCAAGCAGACGTGACACAGCGGGGGACACAGCAGACATGCATGAACTGCATAATCTCCACTGCACAAACTATATTTGCATGGTTGTCTGTAACAACTACAGGGTGTTTGCTGGTCAACTCTCATTTTTTTATGTCTTCAATCAGCCTATTTGCTATATTTGCAGCTGTCTGGCTTGAAGTCATCTTAAGTGCATCTTTTGAATGTGACTATAAAACTAATCGATCTCTTTCCCTAGACCTCGATTTTGCAAAAATGTAAAGGAATCGATCAATAATCGATTAAATCTATTTTTTTGCCCACCCCTAATTATTATTATCATTATCATGCACAGAAAGAAGAGGAAAAGTCCTAGAATGAAAGGCTGATGTACAGGGGTGGTTCTAGAGAGGGGCCAACGGGGACCCTATAGATCATATCCTGGCCCCTGTTATGGACTGAAGACATAATAATCAAAGAAATTCTAATGATGATATGCGCTGGGACAGACATGGTTACTGATGGGTCCTTTGGAACTTTTTTATTTTACAAATTCTGTTTTACTAATTATCTAAAAATTATAAGGTGATAGCTTCAGTGGTATTGAGATAGGGTCCCAGTTTTCATCTGCTAAATGTTTGTTGTTTTTTAAAACAAATTGCTCAAATTTTTACAGGTTAATTTTTTCAGTTTTTCTTGAGTTCTAATTCAGATTTTATATAAAAAGGTCATTTTAAGGTCATTAAGTCAAAAATATGTTAAATTCCTAAATTATGAATGTATATTGACCTAATAAGACGTAACATTTTAATTAAACCTAGTTGAATAGAACCTTAACATCATGCAGCTATCTTAATATATTTTAATCCATTGCCCCCCATGAAAACACGCTGGCCCCCCTCCTGGCCCCCTGGTACATCTGGCCTAGATCCGCCACTGCTAGGGTGCCCCAGACTTCAGAGGAGCCTCAGAGAAATAAAACTGACCAAACTGGACAGATAGACCTCAATGATTGCAGACTGTCCCCCTTAAAACAAGCAGACTGATCCCAGTTTAATAAAATATCATGGTGATCTGTGTCAGAGAGGTTTGACTTGAATAAAAGTCTCCAGATTTCTGTTAGATTGTTTATGTAAATAGATTTCCACGTATGCTGCCTAAACAAAATCAATAAAACGTGTCATTCCCATCCGGGTTTGCAGTTTGAGCGGAGAGATAAAGATCATTTCCTGGTTCCTGCTATGGAGTGACACGCTAAGTGATGGAAACTCCAGTCAAACTTGAATTCTGTCATTATGAAGACTGAAGGTCCGCACTGACACAGTTCTGAGGAGATTTCACAATAGGCACACGAAGACTGGGGAAAAATCAGCATAAGCGCACAGAGACTCTCTAAGGAATTCATTTGAACTCATCTTTCAAAGAGAGCTGAGTGACTGAGAGCAGCAGCAGATTATTACCTGTCCGGTGATGCCGGTGATGATAGCAACATTCCTCTTTTTGACATCCGCTCCGTTTACCGAGGAGCCAACCTCTGCAGCTGCGGAGCACTGAGCCATCTCTGTCTCTTGAATGGTGATGGTTCACTGGGCAAAAATCAATCATTCAAACCGACCGAAGGTAAGTGATCTCAGGCTGTAGTTCCAGTACCAACGAGCCTCCTCAGCATCCGTAAACTTATGACGCGGACCAATCAGAGGGGACCGAGAGGGCGGGCTCTTCTTCTTCTTCTTCTTTGTTAGATTGGCGGATTGCAAACAACTTATATGTGCATACCGCCACCTTCTGTACATGAGTATGTAGCTCTATAGTTTCATATTCTTTTTTTTTTTTTGTTGGTGTTATGTAAAAATAAAAACAATGCTTTATTAATAACCACATTTTCCTCCCTATATCCGTCTGTTCCTAAAATTCCTTTAATACTCCATTCTCTCCCTTTTTTCCATAATTACTTTCCTCATCCATGCAATCCATCAAAAAATTATCCACATTTTCTTTTCTTTAACAAAACTCACATAAATCATTATTTCTCTTCCCTAGTACAAAAAAACATCATTCAATTAAGGATATCTAGTTCTTAATCTAGTATAAATGATCTCTTCCCTTTCTCCATTATTTTTAACAATTACAGATTTTTGAACTTCCTTCTTCCCATATTTTTTGCCATAATTCTGTTTCTTACTTTTTAATTAGAAGGCGGCTTCTTTGAACAGGACTGGATTAATCTTCTTACTTCATATGGATGTTTGAAACAACGCCTCCGATGGAAAGGAGGGTGAATTACACCTGAGGGCTGCTCCTCTCCAGCGGCTGGATTTGGATATAATTAAATCATTTCACGTCGTGGGGAAGTCATATTTAAATGTCAAATCATTCTGGCTTAAATATGTTTATAAATATACTCTTTTTGAGACGATATTGTCCCAAAATTTAAAACATTTCTATTTAAAAACAAAAATCCTGTCTTAAAATCAGTTTTTTTTTTTTTTTTCTGTTTTCTTATGCAGACCAGTTAATCTGGAAAAATTCAGTGAAAATGGGAATCTAACAGCAGGTGATGCAGGTGAATGCGGACAATCTGAAAAAAATTGTGTGAAAATCCTTCAGGTCATTCTTAGTTTTCCCCACTTGAGTCTGATTTGGATTTTTAAGCCACTTAGTGATGTGCTTTCGGATTTAAAATCAAATTTCTAAAGATGGTTCAAAAGTTTTAGTAAAAGTTGATGAAATTACTAGGGCTGAAACAATTAGTCGGATTAATGGTGATTAATCATTTATTGAAATAATCATTAACTGATTCAGTAATTGATTAATCATTAACTGAAGTATAGAGACTCTAAAACAAAACACAGCTGACAGAGTGACCCATTTTGAGCTGTAATTATACCAAAACTGTAAAATAAAAAAAATAAAAAATACATAAGCATTTTGTATTTAAGATTTAAAAAAATAAATGTTTTCTTCTGTTAATACGCTTTATCTAGAACTCCTCAAGTGGAAAATTTTAGTTGGTTTGATTTCATAAATAATGTTCTATCTAATGAATCTTTGGCTATCCGATTATTAATCAAATAATTGAAAAATAATAAAGAGATTGATGAATTTGCAGAATAGTCGTTAGTTTCAGCACTAGAAATTACCTTGTATGCTTCCATGGTTGCATGGTTACAGTTGCTTCCCTGCCAGTTTCTACATTACAGTAGCAGCCATTCAAAATGGCCCTTCCCAGTGAAAAGCCATCCGAACGGAGTATTAGGGCCACACATGAAGAGAAAAAATATTTTTGCCATGACGAGATTAAACTCGACATGTCGACTTTAAAGTCAACATGTCGAGTTTAAACTCAACATTTCGAGAATAAAGTTGAAATGTCATGTTGAGTTTAA